CCATTGTTTATGTGCCTTTTTTTATTTGATCTTGTTGTTGAAAAATAAAATTGTACCTAAAAATTGCTTAAAAGTTTGCTTTATGCTTGTATAAACTTGAGAAGTTGACTTTCTTATTGAGAGTGTGGGAAATACGCAAAAGCCTTTTGGAAGGTTTGTAGCTGTTTATACTTTTACTTTTTTTTCTGGATTGCTTATGTTTCTTACTATTAGTCTTGATTTGACTTACAATGTGACAACTTTCTGCGACAAGGTTAGGAAAGAAAATTTCATATAACAGGTCTGTTGCTGGGGAATCAAAGGGGAAAGATATATTGGTGATTGGAGTGCTTAAATGTTCTTTCAGTTAAAGTATATTTAGTCATTGATATCACAGTTGTGCCTTACATAGGTAGTTGTCCAAAAATCAGAACTGAACAATCTTGGTGCAGGTGGATGACAATGCCAGAAAGCTAAAAGATGACAAAGGAATTGGCATTGAGAAAGAACACATATCGTGCATAGCAGCTTTAGTGATTGTTGATGAATTTAATTTTACGCAAAAAATATTTATGATTAATGACCAAGTGTAGGAGGATTGCTTCCAAATGTGTTCCTACTGTGAAAGATGCTCATAATTGCCCAAATGGATTATCTACAGGAAGAATTATTTGCTTTTGACTGGTAGCATTAGTTGTTTGCTCTGATGAGATATTAGGATTTCATGATCACTATGTATAAAGCCTACTCCCTTTGTCCTGCCGTTGAAGTTAACAGATGTTGGCACACTTTTTAACTAAACAGTGTGAATAGATTTCCATTCTTAAAAATGTACTAGCTATTCTACCTTTTCCAGCCATAGCTTGTGTATGTAGCCTTTAAATGGTAGAATTATAGTGTTAAAGTTACTTCATTTGGATTTTGTAAGGTGACAGTCATTTTGGAATCAATGTGGTTGATACCATCTCGATTAAGGATTCTTTTACGTAGTTACTATACCCTAAAAGGATCATAGTCTAAGAAAATTTCTGGTCTTAGTGCTCCTTGTACTATTTGAATCTAAGTCATGAGAGCTGGAATGATTTGACAAGAGAACTTTTGTGGTTTTAAATGCTCAGATTTATGTTTGTGTAATATGTTACTGATGGTTCCCAAGATTTATGCAGTTTTGAAAGATTTTACTTTTATGAAACAGCCAGAATACTAGTTAGCAGGCTAGCCATATAATTATGAGGACCCAAACCTAGTTCTGCTAATCTAGGTAATGGAAGAAACTCTTCTTATTCAAGTTGCTTCAAGTTGCTTCATGTGTTCTCAGAGAACAGCAAGAAGAAGAACTGAAAAGATTAGAAGAGGAGACTGCAAGGAGGTTGGAAGACGAAATCCGGAGGAAGGTTGAAGAAAAATTGGCTTCAGAAGAAGTTAAACTGGAAATATTAAGAAGGATAGAAGAAGGCCAGAAGAAATTGTTTGAGGATGTTGAAGTTCAACTGCAAAAGGAAAAAGAAGCTGCTCTTATGGAGGCAAAACTAAAAGAAGTATGCATCTCATTCCAATTTCCACTATAAGATTCTCTTTTTTATTTTTATTTTTTATAATTTTTGTATCTATGTTAGACCTTTTAGACCATTATAAACAATCACAGATTAGAAAAAGTTGACAAATTTTTACCCATCTTCACTTTCTTTCACTATGAAAAAGAGAATTAGCTTTAGCTGCATTAAGTACGTACTTATTCTACTCTACCACAGAAAATGAACCAATAAATTAATTTATCTTCAATTTCATTACTGAGAAAAAGGGACTCTAGTTAGCTGCATAATGTATTATTCATTGTGTTCCACGTTAGAAATTCTGATACACTTGGCTTGAGGAAATAATTTAGGTGATTAATATCTCTTTGGTGTTTGTTGTACTTTGTTGGAGATTTGAAATACATATTCTTATTTTGAAAGGATATACCAGCAAGAAGAATGCTTTTCTAGGCTAAATCCATTTTCCGGATATAAAGATTGAAACGGTAGCGTGGGAGTTATTTGTAATTAAATCCCGTTTATACTCATTAAAAGAATATTTTGAACCACATTAAAAAATAATATTTTTTGAACTCTTTTTCCGTCTTAAGTTTTGGGCAGTGCAAGTTCTGAAGGACAAAGACAGGGAAAATTGGTCATCCTTATTTTTTCTCACTATCAAGTGGTGAACTAATGATAACACCGCTCTAGTTTTTCACCTTTTCAGTGGTAGACTATGATAGCTTAGGGCGCTAGGCATGTGAGTGTAATCTACCATGAAGAAAAAAATAGAAGATATAAAGGATAAATATTCTGCAAGGAGCTTGATTCCTTAAAACAAGGCTGTGTAGTGAATATGTCATGTTTTATTCTTTTAGTGTTATTTTAATGCAAACTGGTGCTTTAGAATCTGGGCCCTACTGATGCAGTTGTTGTGTCAAAGAAACTTTTCATATATTTCAATGATAAAAATAATTTGTTTTCACAGGCAAGAAAAAGAAAGGAACATATGCTGTTAAGTTCTTGATATGCTGACAAAAGTCTTACAAATAACATGTTATTGATTGGAAATGTGTTTATGTGGTTTTGGATTTAACTCCATAATTAGCAGAGAGGACATTTTTGTTTGTGAGCCCATAACAATTAGGGGTTTTCTTTAAGTTCAGATTAACATCCTGATAATTATGTTCTACAGAACTGTGATTCCCAGTTACTAAATGAGATTCAAGTGACCTCTCTCTCTCTCTCTGCACCAATCATTTTTAGTTTTTTGTCTTATTTATTTGCCCCAAAAAAAAAAATTAGCACATTGGTTTCTGCATTGCACATGTTTTAATGTTTATAATATTATTTATCTTTGTAAAATCTGCATAAAATGAGTTAGAATCATAATAGGAGAAAATGAACCTACGTTATGTATAAGTCGTTTGAATCTTAGAGTGCTTGATGATATCTCTTTTTGGTTTAGGTGATCTTACACTTATTTCTGGTGCTGCTTCATGATTGGTTCTGTAAATACATCTTTGGGGAATATTTTGATGAGACATCTTTTTTTCGTTTCCGTCTTTTGGGGTTCAAGTTTAGTAGGTATGGTCATCATTGTGATATTACCAAGACATGAAAATTAAAAAAATGGCTTATCTTGTAATAGTTAACAGATATCTGGTACGAGATTTATGCACTAGTTTTAAGTTGAAGCTTAGGTGTGTCAGATGTATGCTTCACATGGCAGTGTTCCATGTCGTTTTCCTGTTATTTGGTTAGCTGTAACCTTGGCCTGTGGCTTATGTTGGCTCTGCCAATATTTCTCTTTAAACTCTAAATATCTGGGATAATGTGCATGTTGAGGCTCAAAATCAGGAGAAATTCATCTTCTGAAGCTTTAGTTGATTATCTATTTCAGTAGAATTTCTTGAAAGTCCCTAGGTACTCTTTAGCATGCAATGTCATTTTTTTTTTCATATATCTGATTAGAAGAAGTATGCTGCATGTACTGTTGCTAGCAGTTATTAGCTGCAACATACAGCGTAATCAAATTTACAACATGTATTTCCCTCCTTATTATAACTTTCTTTAATGTATTTTAACCGGCATTGCCTAAGTGGTGTCTTAATTCTGCTGTCTTGTGTTTGAACATCTACTACATTGCATCATAGGAACAAGCTCGAAAGGAGAGGGAAGAGCTGGATAAAATGCTTGAGGAGAATAGAAGGCGGGTAGAAGAGGCTCAGACGATGTTAGCTATGGAACTTCAGCGAAAAGAAGAAGAACGCCATCGGGAGTTGGAGTTGATTCAAAGACAAAAAGAAGAGGCTGCTCGAAGAAAGAAACTGGAAGACGAGGAAGAACACGCGAATCAGATGATATCGACCAGCAAGAGCAGATCTCGATCAAGGTCAATTGGTCTGTGATTCGGGTTGAGCAACAGTAAGTTCAACAAAGACGGGCTTCACACTCTTCTTGAACAGTCTACGCTTCAAAGGAGGCTGCCTAATGCTGGTGAACAGGGGACACATTTATTGAACAGAGTTGTGGTTTTGTTGAACTGCAATGTTTCAAGCATTTTGTTGTGTTTTTGTTTTCTTTCTAGATGCAACTTTCACGTGGGCTTTGCAGCTAGCAAGTTTCAGGACCATTGATTTGAATTGCAGTTTTAGACGCGTATTGTAGACTGATATTTGGTTCGTCAGAAACTCAGAATGACGCGGGAATGAATAGTCTATCGTAGTAGTTAATGGTATTCGTTTAAAGGACTTAGGACACTGGTAAAATTATGTTTAAAAGTTTCGAAGTTTCTCTTGTATTTATTTTTAGCTCTTTTGATTTAAGCTTAAATTATTCATGTACTTTTTTTGTCAAAAATATTTTCAAGTTTTCTTTTTAATATCTAAATTGTTATGCTTCACGCGAAATATATAACCAATAAAAAAAGAAATTATGTATAAAACTTTCCTGCTATATGTACTTTATTGAGCGAGTCATCACGTGTCACAACTTATATATAAAATTAAATATATATTTTTTGAGTAAATTTTATATACACTGACAGTGTATATATTATCTCTATTGGATGTATGATACATGTATAAAATTTGAATTTTAAATTCAAATTCGAATTAATGTATCTAATGGTGAAATGAAAGTGTACGCACTGTCAGTGTATAGGAGATTAATTCATACTTTTTTCTAACAAGCAAAACAGGTTAAGCATATTCCAATTGAACTTTCGACGACAATAAGCTTCCCCACCTTTAAATGAGCGAAGGGGCAAATTCCCAGTTTAGAAGATTGTGAAACGTACGAGTAATCAATTTCAACAATTTCCTCACGAAACAAATGAAGGCTTAAAAAATTTGTTCAAGTACACGAAAACAAGAACTTCAAGAATCGAGGGGAGGTTTCGTTCCGTCTACCTTCCCCATCTGGGCCGCAAGCCCAGAGTAACGAAGCAAAACTAAAGTGAAAGGTTGACTTGAACAAAGAAGCAAGTAAACCTCAAGCCAAAAGTTCAAGAAAGAAAAGTTTAAATAGGAGCAAAATAATGGAATTAAGCAGGTACATTAGAGAAGTTGCTACAAAAATGACCACTAGTGTACGGAAGAATCAATGTTCTCAAGCTCCAACAAACAAACAGAAAAGGACTTTATGGCTTGCAGAACCAACATTATTTTACGAGGACCATACCCAGCTTCTAGCTAAGCCAAACCCACTATTATAATTGCACACTATAGTAAGCGGACTCGAGAACCACGACACTGGAAATTGCCGTCACCGACTTCTACAACTCAATGAATGACCAAGTGAAGAAAAGAGATCCCCAAGCTGAAAGGCTCAAGAATTGAAAGAAAACATCCAAAATTTAAGCAACAACATCAAACTCACGAGGCAATTTCCAATACTCCATTGAATCAGCAGAGCACCCAAAAAAATCATCCTGGGGTTGGAGTCCCATTTGAAGTTTGTTTAGCCACATAGATTTGCTTCATTTTGGAAGAGGAAAATCCCTTGTCAGAACCAAAAGTCTGGTTCCTCCCATGGAAATTCATTCTCCGGTGGGACCATTCATTCCCTGCACTGTTTCTCTGAGAGGTCCCACTAGGGCCACTACCTCCTCTTTGGTAATTGTAGCCCACGGAATGACTCTGTTGCGCCGACAAATTCTTCTGCTGGGATGTCCTAGCCTTGGAACTGCTAGTGGTGTGTCCTTCACTTTTGTTGCTACCACCAGTTCGCAGATTCTCTGCAGTGCCAGTATCAGCACCAGCACCAGCACCGTTGGAGGAGCTCTGATTGACAGGATTTGGTGTAGATGCCCCAGCAGTGGCGGATCTTGATGAGTCTACTAAACATAGTTCATCAGGAAATTGTGCAGTATTTACCTCTGTTGCAACGGTAAAACCTGGGCCACTAGTAGAGGGAGTTGAAGTTTGAGACTCGGAGAAGCTAACATTCAGCTGTTGATCAATTGGATGTTGGTGTCCAAATTGAGGTGGTGGCACACCTTCCACTTGTTGCAATGGCCTCGAGAGAGGAATCGAATGAAGAGGTGATGCAGGAACATGAGACCAGCGAGCTTGGACGGGAATGTCTGGTGCTGACTAGAAAATTCAGGAGGACATGTTAAAATACCACTCTGGAAATGATAGTTCAGACAAGAAAAGAATATATTAAACAAAATATAGTGCAACATATCTATCCATTGACTTTGATTACCAAAGATCACAAACTTCAAACTTCATACACAAAAACACAAGAACTTGTATTGTGCATCTGAAAGCAAGAACAATTCATTCTCCTCTCCATTTGAGGTTACTTTTTCTCTTTTCGATTTTTTGTGGGGAGAGAGAGAGAGAGCTACAAAAAGCTACATATAGATAACAACAAATCTTTACCTGGAAGGGTGATAAATCGAACATGGTCAAAGGTGAGGCAATGGGCATAATTGGTGAACCAGAGGCAAGATGCTGTATAGCTCCAGCCATGTTGGCAGCATTCCTCTGTCCAGAAGTGATATTAGCATTATTCATATCATTCTCAGCCATACCAGCTGCGGATGATGAAGAATTGTGCTTCCAATCAGGATGCTTTCCTGAAGGGATATAAGTAGGACCCATAAAACTCAGTCCTACCTGTCCAAATTGTCCAACTGGAGCAAAATGATTATAAACCACCATGTGTGGAGGCCCTTGAACTCCAGGAATTCCTCCAGGCGGGCTAATGAAAGGACCAGTATATCCAGCCGGAGGTCCATAGAATGAATCCACAGTGGAATGGCACTGCTGCCATGTCCCAAGAGGCCCCGAAGTGGATGTACTCTTTTGAGGCTGTGATTGGGCACCAGCAGATTCTTCATGCGGACCAAAAGCAAAGATAGGACCACCCAAAATAGGATTCATCTCGTAGAAGGGAAAGGGCGATGGAGGGCCACCCGGAAAATGAGAAAGCATCTGGCTTGAAGAACTCTGGGGACTTGGTAAAGTTGGCCACAAGGAGATTGGAGGCGTTTCGACAGAAAGGTCTGCAGGAAGAGACACACTCAGAGATTCTTCTCCCCTAGATTGACCCACTAATTGTTGATCACGAGCCATACCTTTTTTTTTTTTTTGGGGAGGGGTGGGGGGTGGAAGAAGTTAATACAATATCAACAATGTTGAATTAACAATGAAGGCCACTATGAATAGACAACGAAAATGAACATGATAGAAAACATGAGGTAATACCATCAATATCTGCACCACCAAAGCTTTTGGAATCCGAAATAGCAACAGAACCTATTCCATTCCCAACAACCTCATCATTGCTGATAGCAGCAACAGCAACTGCAGAGGCAGCAGCTTCAGCTTCAGCCTCTGAATCTTGTAGATGAACACAAGAGTCATCAGTCTGTTTGTCTTTTTTGAAGAACAGAGCGCAGTCATTCTCAGCTACAGATAGACTCTGGGAAATTTGAATATCTTGTCTACTGGAGCCAGGAGCCCGGCTACTGGGAGGAAGGACAGGTGGGGAAGTAACAGCACCTGTTCAGAGGGGGAAAAAAATTAGGACACAGTTTCCACAGTTCGGAAAAACCCCAGCCATGGAGAAGTTCACAAAATTACCAAAGCAAATCTTCTCTCCAGCAAGCAGGGAGTTGATTGGACTAGCAGCAGATGAAAAGGATCTTTCTTTTGTCGGCATAGAAGACGATGGCAAGAGGGGGTCACTGACCGAGCTGCATTGGCCCCCAACAGAAGCAATTGGGGTGTCAAAGCAGGGAGGCTTCATAGCCTCCTCAAGTTGACTTTGAGTCAAGGCCATAACCTATGAAAATGAAATTAGTCAGAATTTTAAAGTTTAAGAAAAAAGATTAAATTCAAGAGCAACCATAACCAGAATGGTGATAAAGGTCAACAATACAAAAACAGCTTCATAACCATACAGAAGTCATTATCTGCTAAATCAGGTGTGCAAGTTGAGTGCCTACAAATTAGACTTTGGATGTACCCCCCCCCCCCCAACCCAAAAAAAAACCACCACCACCACAACAATATATAAGATTGCATACAACTTTGTGAACATGACATGTGCGTGCATATACAGACACACAGAGAGAGATGCATATGAGGTATACAAGTTGAGAGCCAAGAAAAAATGCATTTTAAAACCCCAAAATATATATATATGCACGAGAGAGAGAGGGAGAGAGATGGAACCCAACCAATCTGCGTGTGCATCTCCTGAAAAAAAAAAAATCGCTTTCTACATTATCAAGTTAGAGTAGAGTAGATCTAAACCAGTAAATGTCTGAAGCCACTCATATGAAGCAACAGAAAAGAATGTCAATATCACTAATTAACCATGTACCCAGAATCAATGAAGCCAGCGACCAACACTCATGTCATTCCAAAAGCAATGTTGCATACCTCTTGATTAATTCGTGCAGTGTCCCAAGTACTCATAGAAGATTGCACATTATCAACAACCTCATTCTTGCTCTCAAATATCATAGCAGGGCCAAGGTCTTTTCCAGCAACAGATACAATAGAGACAGAGCTTGTTTGATGATGCCTGTAAACAAATACCCATTACATAAAAAAAAAATTCAGAGGCAAACAAATTTGTTAGAAAAGATTTTGAAATATAAATTGCATACTTAATGTTTTGGGATGTTTTATCAGCCTGTATCTCAGATTTTACTGCAGGTGTGCCAATTGGTGCCAGCGGCTGGGACACCAAGGCAGCAGATGCTTCCTTATAAGCCAAAACTCGCCCTTCAGAGGATGCAAAACCTGAGTTCACGTTTGTGGATGATTCTCCAGCCAGTGATCCAGAAACTTTCTTAGAGTTGGTTGACCCCACAGTAGTCACAAAAGTCTGCCTAGTAACTCTAGGTTTACGTGGAGGCTGGCATTACATGGAAAACTTGAGTGAATCATGCTGAGCAAACAACAAATACCCTAAAGCAAGAACCAAAACAAAAACTCATAAAAGTACGGAAAAATCGCACAAGCAATGCAACCTTTATTACCTGAAATTTTGCCTTAATTTCTTTTTCTCTCTGTTCCCGTCGATCATTCAGCATTTGCCTTTTCGACCTCACTTCAATGAAGTCATCTTCGTCACTAGGTGCTTCTATGCCAGGTTGTTTGAAAACACGAACAACCCCACTTTGCAGGGGGGCATCAACATCCTCCTCAGAAATGTTTCTTTTCAAACTTGCCTCTCCAGACAGAGAGAAATTCTGATCCCTCAATGACATGTCTCTTCCACTTTCTTTAACAACCAGTTTCCCAGATTCAACATCCTGGGAAATAAAATTACCTGACATCAAACTCTCTGAATGAACTATTTGCTTCAACGACTTACTAGACATGGTCCCTCTCTTAGATCCACTTCTTGCAAACTGCGCATTAGATCTTCCATTGTAATTTGGTTTATCATCCGGATTTAAGCTATTAGAAGAAAATGAGCCATTTGGTTGCCTCCTTTCAACATTCTCCCGAACTCGAAATTCAGTTCGTTGGACAGTCCTCCTAGATCTCCTCTGAAAACCATGTGTATCTGAACTAGAAACGTCAGCAGCTGGAAGAGATGATCTCATGCTGGAATTCCTAACTGCATATGTGAATCTTCGCCCCTTGCTACCTGACACAGCACCTTGAGCCTTAATGCCACCAAAGTTTTTCTCGTTGGAAACAGATTCACTTATAGGTTGGATTGGCTGTGATTGACCTTCAGAAATTGTTCCCTTTGATGATGAAATACGATTCTTTCTAACAGCATCATTTTGCCCCCTATTCTCAGCTAGGCCAACCAATTCTGGTTTAAGTTTGTCATCACGACCACTTAAAACCTTTGCATTAGCACTCTGTGAAAGAGCACCACTATCCACAGTTTGTCTGACCAAACCTGAACTTAATTCAGATGATGCATTCCCATTAGGTTCACTTTTTCGTCCAGGAACAAAGGCAGGCTGCTTAATCCCAGCGGGAGATTGTACTTCATTTTTCACCACGTTCTGAGCAGAAGTGTCCTGAACTGGTTGAATACCCAAGGAACCCCCTGCATTCTGATTCACGCTATAAGGAGTCTGCACATTCGGCGGAACAAAAGGCATTGATAGAGGGGCAATGGGTGGGCCTCCATGGGAGACAGATGAATATCTGAGCTGACCAAACTGGAACATGGGTGGTTGTGATGGATGCATATGAGCAAGAGGTGCTCCTATAGGAGTATGAAGATGCAAAGGCATCTGTATCGAGCCAATCTGTATGGCAGGAACTGGAGATGGTATGAGAGAAGGACCAGAAAATAGCCCAAACTGAAGTTTAACAGGTGAATCAATTTGGCTTGGAGCAGATCCAATAGAAACTGCTGTTAGACCAGCAGAAGATGGCATGTCAACTGAAACAGATAAAGCTTGCTGAGCAGAAAGACCAGTTGTATCTGGTATTGAGGTGTATGGGTCCTCAATAGGTTTAAGAAAAGAATCTTGCATAGTAATCTCAGTTTCCTGGACCATAACTGAGACTGGCGAAAAACTACCTACATCTTCAGGGCTTGGTTCATCACCTTTTACACCATCAACCAGTCCCTCTTCTCCCGCAATAGGGATAGAGGAGTCTGATATGCCAAAGCCTCTTTCCTCATTGCTGAAATTTCTGTCAAAGTCATCACTTGGTATCTCAACCTCAATACCTTCATCAAAGCCTAAAACCAAGTTGCCCATCAAATGAGAATCTTTCTCTTCTAAATGTAAATCTTCAAATTCTTGGGTCAAATCCAAATTCTCATCATCTCCTGCCCTCACTTCATCCTCTTCCTCGTAACCATCTTCATCCTCATCATATTCTTCCTGCTGCTGCAGGTCCTCGTTATTCTCAAGAGTCCATTCCTCATCTTCAGTAGCAGAAACGGAACTGGAAGCAGTCATCCTCAGATGCTGCCCTGAATTGTCATTTAAGCTAATAGATTCATTCTCAGACACTGAAACATTTTTCCCTTCCACTGTAATAGATGCCATGGGAGAATCACTGGAATCATCCAACTCATCATGGGAGAGATGTGGTGGAGAGTTAGGAGGACTCGAAACAGATACAGAAGATTGTGAATCACACCTAGGAGTTATATCCTTGTTCGATTTCTGATCTTGAAGAGTGAGATCATCTTTCGGGATATCTAGTTCAGATTGCTGGAGGCCATCTTGATGACTACCATAATACGCTGTCTGCCTGGTTGGTTCACTTCTTTCTGCATGGCTGTAGTGGTTATCATCCAGGAATCCAGATGGTCCAGGATGATCATTCATACTCCTGAAAGAACTCCTCTGTGTATAGGCAATTGGAGGAGGAAGGACACGAGGTTGTCTCATGGAATATCGTGACCTTCCATAAGAATAAAGCTCATCTGCCTCAGAATGTGGATATGGCCTCTCTGGATGAGGAGGAGTATTGCCTCGAAAACGGTTCTGAACCCATCCAATATCACTGTACTTCTCAGCAGGATTATCTTGAAAATCTGAATCCATCTCCATGCTTCTGCTCAAGGAGTCTGCATCCCCTGAAAAGTTCCATCTCTGGTCTTTGTGATAGCCAAATTCATCTGCATAAGATTCTTTCCCTCCTCTTACATGAGCACTAGAAGACATATATCCTGCCCCTCCATGAAATTCTTTCCTAGGGACCGCTCTCGAGTTAGCAAATGAATCTCTCCTGGGACTGAAGTGACTAATCTCATTTTCCAGTAGCTGTGACGAAGAAGTATTGCCATTTTCAAACACATCCCTTCTCCATGAGTTCAAAGACTTTCCTCTGTCAAGAAAACCCGAAGATCCATCTCTGGTAGGATATGGCCTAGAACTAACGTCAAAAGGCCTGTTTAGAACAGTTGAGTCAAAAGAAGCTGATGCTGTTATCCTTTCCACCATTTTCTCACTATCTTCCCATGTTTCAACATCTGTAGAAGGGGAGATGTCTTTTTCCTTCAGTATTGCTGAAAATTTGTCATCTAAGTTCGTAGTAGCGACAGAAGAATCAGATTTCACAGCTTCAGCCTGCCTCTTGGCCATTCTTTCTTCCAATTCCAGTAGCTTTTGTTTAGCTGCCATCTTCCTCCTCTCCTCCTCCACAAGAATCCTCTTTTTCTCTTCTTCTCTGGCAATTCTCTGCTCTTCTGTTCTTCGAATAGCCTCCAAACGCTCCTGTTCTGCCCTCCATGCAGCTTCCTGTGCTTCCTCTTCCAGCCTTCGCACGCGTTCTTCCTCTTCCCTAATAAGCCGTTGTCTCTCCTCCTCTTCTCTTCGAGCCTGTTCCAAAGCTCTTTCTTGTTCTTCAATAATCCGCTGCCTCTCAAGTTCCTGCATCTTCTGAACCCTTTCAAGTTCAGCTTCGAATGATTCCCGAACAGGGTCATGCAAATAAGTCTGTTTGACCACATCCTTTTTCCTTTTAATAACTCCAACAAGACTACCAGAGAAGGGATCCCTTTCATCAAAACCTGCAGAACTTATAAAAGGATCCTCAAAATATGATCTTTCAGTTTTTGAAGAGACACGTTTGTCCCTTACAGAAGTCAGCAGTGGATCAGTCCCAGGAGGCATTTTTCCACCCGAAGCATACATAGATTTAGAGATGTTGCTATTCTGGAAATTGTCACCCCTATATCTGTTGGATTGTTCAGCACCATAGCGCTCCCGTGTATTCCATTCAGACCCTCGGCTGTTATATGATTCCTTTATGTTGTTCCACTGTTGTCGCGCTTCCACAAAATGGCTTCCATTCCTCCTTAAATGAGTAGTTTCCTCACTTGCTGAAAAACCACCATCTTGTAGGGGGTCCCCAACATGTGGTGGCATGTACTTGATATCTTTCCCAAAATCTTTGTTAAAAGCAGTTGTTCTTGCCACAACACTGTTTCTATCAGTTTTTGAATACCCAAAATCTCTACTTCGTTCAGTAATACCATGTCCTGTATCACGCTCATCATCACCCCAATCGGACCTTGGATTTAACTTGACTAATGGCAGGGGGCCAGGAAAGTACTCTTCTTTCCGAGGCTGATCAGCTAGGTGCGAACTACCCAACCCATGGCCCTCACCACCGTTCTCCATGGCGCCATTTCCACTTGTATGACGTGAAGCCTGGCCATGTGGACGCATATCAACAAGTGAATTTAAAAGAAAACTGTCCCGCTGTAGGTCAGTTGACTCCTCAGAGGTAACTAGTTTCTGTTTCTGATTCACATTATCCTGCGGTTTCTGCCCAGGCCCAGGTAATACAGGTAATACAGCTTGTAGAGAAGGAAAATCCTCACCCCTCAAAACCACGGCTCTGTCCACTGCCTTAGGAAAAGGTCTAGAAGAACTAGCACTTGAAGTAGCAACTGCAATACCACTAGCCCGAGCTGAAGGTGGCATATAAGCACTATTGACTCTACTGTCACCATCAATACCATGTCCAGTAGGCTCAACCTGCGGATCACCATCACCACCATCTTTCTCTGGCAAAGCTACCGCCACAGGCTTGGTCCAACCCATGCCGGACGAGGTGGGCCTCGGTCCACTACCAGGCCCAGTACCACTAGCCGTCCCGCTACTTGATCCTGACAAATCAAACCTCTCATGTTCCTTCCTCAACGAGGGCAAATTCAAGGGGGGTGGAACAGATAATTTGGGCCCAGCAGCCTTCTGTGAAATCCTCGACCGTGACAGAACCACCATTCCCCCACTCCCTCCACCACTTCCCAACCTGGCCCGAGCCCCAGCAGCTGCCTGCCCATAAGAGCCACTATAATGTTGATGATTATGATTAGAAGGCTGCCCATAAGACTTATTTAGATTAACAGATACAAACTTTGCCCCGACCCCTCCGCCATGATTGGCCATATCTCGCTACTACTGCAGATCCCAAACCAGTGCAACGCATCAAAACCCTAGTTTCACTTCTTTCTCGCAGAGTTGGAGCTTTTAAAAATCTCTCCCAAAAAAAAATAGATCCTACTGCAAGTACAAGAACAAATTAAATAAATCAATTAGTTGATGTAATTAAATCAATAGATTTAGTATGCCAAAAAGTATACGAAGAGTTGGATGAAATTGGTTGATGATATGGTCAACACAAATTTGTAAATAAGAAATAGATGAAAAGGAAGACATAAAAACACGCTCACACTTAGCAAACATTCCAAAGGATCAAGGCTCCTCTGTTTCAAGACAATAGCCAGAAAAATTAGAGATTTACATTTACAGATCAGGGTCTGCCAAAATGTATGATGCTGCTATAGTTATGTACATAGCATGTGCCAAAGTTCTAAGAAAAAAATTAGCAGCGAAAGTATCAGCATTTGCAGATCACCCTAAACTGACGTACTGATTATACACATGCACCAAATGAGATTTTTCAATTGAAGCTACAAAACTATGCCCAACACGAATCCATCGTTCAAAAGAACTTCAAATGAGTTGGTAAACAAAAATTAGAGTTGATTCTAATTACAGTACAATAATCCAACTATGTTGATAGAAACAAAATGCAGTAAACCCAAAAAAAAAAAAGGCTAATCACCCTACTGACAATGTTAAGAGGCATTTCCTATCAGCTCATCATATATCAGAAAAAAGATTCCTACTTTTCTTGGCAAAATCCTCTCTAACAAATCCATTCCACCACAACAGAAAAATACAGTGTGTATAAGCAAACAATTTTCCATATCCCAGTCAGCTTTGATGAAGACGGAAACAAAATGGACAACTCAAACACTTCAAAATCCCAAAAAAAAAAAGAAAAACATGACAGAATAGGGGGAAATACCTGCCTGCAGAGGAGGAAGGCGACGAGGAGGCGGCGGACTATGAATTTGGAGGACGCAAATGATTATTGATTTTGGAATCGGATGCAGAAAAATTATCTGAGATGATAAAATTGAAGAATCAATGGTTATGTTAATGCTGATTATTGATGGCTGCGACTCTGATCGATGAAGGCTGGAACCCTAGCGGTGGGTAATAAGCACAGTCGATTGATCTCAGGTGGAGGGGAAGAGAACGAAGGAACGAAACGACCCAAAATAAAAAAACCCAATACTACTGTATATTCAGGTTAAAAACAACAGGAGGATAAGGGCACAATGGTAATATGATCTGCTGTTTGGCCATGCTGTACAATATTTAGAGCAGAAAGCACAGATTTCTACTGCAGAGCAGGTAATGACAAATTTACAAAAGTAGACACCTAATTCGACGTGCCCAGGGACAAAGGTTGATACTATTCAAAACTCTAAGGGTTAAGTGCAGTTTGCACCCCTCAACTATTCATAAATTGAACTTTGCTCCTTAATCTTCTAATTTTTGCAATTAACTACCTTCTACATTTTATTTCTCACGTGATTCAAAAAATGAGGTGACCGGTTTACCCTTAATCTTTTATTGAACTTCCTAAAGTCCCCTCATCACTTTTTCCCTCCTTATTTAGTTTTATGTTCTTAGTTAAACCTAAATTGGCTTTGAGAGAAGCCACCAGATCCACTATGACTAACATTGCCACCTCCACCGTTGGAATAAACTCTTGTTCCACTAAAGGATTCTACCAAACGGCTCTAAACCGTGCCAACACTACTACTACTACCAAACGGTGTATCCGTATATTTAGTGGTGATAGGAAAGAGTCTAGAAAAAGAAAAGAGAAATGACTAAGATCCAGTTTTTTGGTTGAAATACAAATTAGCCACTCTTGCTATCAATCTCATGGACTAAAAAAATAAAAGGGTGAAAGTAGTCTTTATATGATTATGTTGATGTACGTTCACTGTGTTTAGTATACTAATTTTTTTCAACTAAGGAATCCTTTGTACGGTTCTTTTAGTAGATTCTTTTGATTGGACTTTTATAAAGGAAAAAAACCAATATGATTCTAAATAGAATTGAGGGAAGCTTCTTGAATGGAAGTTGGTTGAAAGAAACTAGGAGTTGTAAAGATCCATTGAAGCCAGTGGTAGGTTTTCATGAGGATATGGTGTTTCTTTTCAATTAAAAATCTATTTTTTTGAAATCTCGGGCAAGAAGTAATAATCTTCCATTTCTTTAGTATCCAATAAGATTTTTTTTAAAAAAATTTGGAGTAGTTGGCCCAGTAAGTTTTATTGTTCACAATTTACTCTTTTGGTTTGATTTGGGGATTTTTCTTCTCTCTTTAATCTAGGCAAGAATTAATGATCTTCTATTTCTTTTAAATTTTTTTGTCATCGAGATGCTTTTCTTTTTCACTGGTAATTCTCTATTTTGATTTGCATTTTTAATGTAAAGATTCTTTCTTATGTAATTGGTGGATTTTTTTTCTCTTTTATCTTTTCTTTAGTTCTTGTTTGGCAGCATATTTGTGGTGCCTTAATTATGTGAGCTTTGGCCTCTATCATGATAAAAATAAAAAAAAAAGCATTTTGGGCTAAAGAAGAAGAAGGGTAGAAAGGATCTTTCACTAATTAGTTGCTGGAAGAAATTTGCTTTGATTTCTCGAAATTTGGATTATTGCAGTGCATTGCTAAAAATCAAAGGGTAAAATATAATTAACCCTTCGGTGGTTTCTAAGCCACATAACTCCCCGTAATTTTAAAAACTATACATAACTCCCATTTGATTTCAGTTGAAGTGTCAAACAAACGGAAATCATCTATCATCACGATACATGGGTGAAAATGTCCAAATTACCCCAATATAAATACTAAAAAGGGTCAAATGAAATTAGAGTTTTTGCGAGCTTGGTCTTCATCATGGGAAACCGAGAGAAAAAATACTCATGATTGAAGGAGAAAAAGTTTTAAAACCAAAATAAAAAACACTAGATCCGCTATTGAAGATCATAAAATAGCTGTGGAAGACTATCACAAATGTTGTTGCTCTGTCTGGTAAATATTTCGACATCAACTTTAGAATCTGAAATGCACTTGCGTATTTTGAATAGAAATAGTACTATTGTGTGTTGGAAATCTAATGAATCAAATGATTATGACAATTAAGGGGTGATTAGTTTCAAGTTTTTTTAATTTGGGATAAATAGTATTATCATGTTTAAGCAAAGAGTTTTATCGGCTAGGATTCAACTTATGGGTTAAAATTGGGTTTACAAAAATGTATGTGGGTTCTAAAATCGTTGGGATTATAGATAAATATGGGTAAAATATGTTTTTGTTAGTTTGAAAAAATGTTGATTAGTATCAGATATGGATGACACATACATTTGGCAATTTTAAAAATTTTATCATTGTCATTAGATATCTCTAAAGTATAATTTGGTCAGTATGTCATTCTCATATTGTGGCCAGATATATATAGTGTGATTTGGTTGCCAATAAAATTTTGGTAATTTGGGCAAAGACTAATCCTCGCTTGTCGGCTTGTTGGCCATCATATGATGTGAGAACCCCGAAAAAAATTATATATAAATACCATTCTGTAGATCATTTGCATTTCTTTTAACTCTTTAATAAATTTTAGCATTAATTTCCCTTGTCTGCTTATAAGACCGTAAAAATAATTTTGTGTGAGAAATAATATAATTTTCACAAGTTATGAATTTTCTTGATTTTGCTAGACTAAATTAATACATCCGGAGTTAGAATAAATTATCGCCTTAAAATAAAATGCTAAAATACTTAGTTTTCTTTATGTTAAAAATTAACGCTACCTGAGTAGATTAATTATATAAAATTTCTTGAATTTCAATATTAATCCTAATTAGCGAATAGTGTTAAATACTAGTAAGAATTTTCACGTTAAGACCAGAACCAATAAATTTTATGTGCAAAATAAAATAATTGTGCTAAGCCATTTAAATTTCTAGTTTTGTTTCATTAAATTCATATTTCGAAGGTAAATTATTTCATTGATTTAACGATTAGACCTCTTTGAATTCCGATGGCTGATCGTAAGTGTTAATAATGATTAAGTTAATAAATGTTGATATAAATGGATAAACGAATATCAAGAATGTCAAATCTTTATATTAAGGTCAAACTTGATTTTAATAGTTTAAATAATAAAGGAAGTATGATAAGTGATCACTTACAAATTATTAATTTGCTCAAGAAATAGGCCATCTTGTTTAAATGTCCCGTTTCTTCAGGAGAATGGATTTTGTCTTTGAATAAATATGTAAACACAATTTTAAAATCGCAAACACGTTAAATGTGCAAAATATCGAGTATTCTCAAATTGGACTACGTGAATATATTTTACTCTATGTACTAAACTTATTAGTTTTGCTACTTTAAATTCATATTTCAATTGTAAACTATTTCTTTGACCTAACAATTAATCTCTCTGAACTCTAGTATTGTAATTAATTGTTTTGAATTAAAGTATGAAGATAATGTTTATGTAATAAATAATATAATTGTAATCAATATTGAATTATTCAGTTTTGTTATACTAAAAGTAATAATTCTTGAGCGATATTAAGTTTACTCTCTAAAAAAATAAATTCCTTAATTTGCAATAGCTAACTTTATTACGAATAAGATTAAGGGTATACTGAAACCTTAGTATTAAGATGCAATCGATAAATTTTGGACAAGAACGATATAAGTATCCTAGATATACTTAGGACGTAAGACTTACGATAATTAAGGTCTTGTAGGACTAGGGTACAATTCGACGTTTAAATCACACTTGGGGATTATTGTTGGAAATAAGATTAGAATTGAGAGTTTAGTCGAGGTTAGGGAGCAAGGTGAAAAGACCAAAGTGCCCTTCACAATTTCACAAAACCTCCATTTCACCACAACCTCACCATGCACGGCCAAACACTCCCTCTTACAGCCTTCCACTGCCGCCCCAATTAGCCAACCACAACTTCACCAATTCTACAAGCAAACCAAATCCTACACTCCACCAATTCTGCCCACAAACATCTCCATAACCACGGCACCACTTCATTCATTCCACTTCACATATCAAACCACAGCTGCACCTCACCTTCATTGTAGCATCCGAGAGCAAGTGAGTGAGAGCTGCTCCTCGTGAGTATCGACCAAAGGAAGAAGCCGCGAGCTACAGTTCCATTTCGTTCCTGCCCTGTCCGTAAGCTGAGGGAAGAGATCAGGGAACCATCAACTCCATTTGCACCAAACTTCACGGCTGCAACATCACCAGCTTCCACCTACATCAGTTGAAGCCACTACACCAAGCCAGAATCATCAAACCTGCCGTGTGTGTGAGAGCCGAGAGGGAGCAGAGATTTTTTCAGAATTTCGTGTGTGAACTAGCTTGCTGTGAGGTAAATTTTTCTGGAATAAAAATGGATGATCAGAGGTGGCTTAAGCTAGCTGTGGCCTTGCATGTGTTAATTTGTGTAATCAAATGATGAAACCAAAGCTGTGGAAAATTCTGTTTTGGGCAAACCATTTCTGCCGAGAAGCTGATTGAGCAATGCAGCTTAATTTGTGTTTTTCGGTGATAATTTGAACTCTTAAATGTCTTTAGCTGGGGTAAAACTTGATGATTAAGACCATGCATGTTGATTGTGCCTGCGGATGATAATGGCAAGGATTAAGGAAATTCTGTTTTAAGGGGAAAATGTCTTAGCCGAGAAACTGATTTGAATTGCAGTCCTAATGTGTTTTCCGGAAATGATTTGAGCATGCATTAGTGACTAATTAATCAAACCTTGGATGATTATTAAGATTAGGGTCAGGCATGAATTTAATTAGCCTGGATTACTTTGGAAATAAAAATGAAACAGAACTTGTTGCATGCATACTCATTCGAGTGTAGTCTCACCAATTTCTGGAAATGTGATAGTGTTTTGTTGCTGCCGAGCTGAGTTATCTGGACTGACTTGTTAGCTAATTAACTCAGAAATTGGGCATGTGAGAATCTAAGGGAAAAAAAAAAATAAAAGGGCTTCAATCGAAAATAATATCGGGTGACGAACTAGGAGATTAGAAAATTCTGTTTTGGTTGTGAATGATTTGTGCCGAGGGGATGGATTGGTAATGCATCTATAAATTCTGTTTTCCGTGAAAACCTGAACATTCATGTGTAACTAGCCAAGTGAAGCGTAATGATTAGGATGTTAGGACCC